AAATCTAATTCTTATCAGCCCTGGGTCTGCCTGGTTGACACTTTCTGCTTTTCCTCTGACCCTTGGACTCCTCAAGACAGTGGCGCATGGTACGTCCCGCAGCTCTGAGGCTGCACCGCTGTGGCCGACCAACAGTTCAGTCCTTTGATCCAATTCTATCATCGTGATCCATGAAGGCAACCAAGGCGTCTTAGCAGGGGGAAAGATATTTCAGACGTCCTCCCCAGGAGTCTTGAATCGTCTCCCCTCGAGCTGTTTGATAATGGAATCTGCATTTTGAAAGAAAAAAGTGTTAATGAGCAAATATGAATCGCCAGCTCCGGGTGAGCGAGCTAATGGACAGTGTCCTGGAGACGGGGAGGAGGGGAATGGAGAAAAGGGGAAGTAGTTTTGCGGGGGGCGTGATGTCTTTAATGGAGGAGGGATGAATGCAGGGAGCGTAGTACTATAGAGTCACAATGCATGTAATGAAGCCAGGTGCACACTCCCCTCTGCTTTTCATTTCTCTCAAGCGCCCCTTTTCCTGCTGCTGCACCCTCGTATCCTTGATTTCAGTCTGACTCATCACACGGGGGAAGCTTCACGCAGATTGAATGCGATACTGACTCTGAATATAATGCATCCCCGGTGAACAGTGTAATATTTGCCACAAAGGTTACTCCGTACCAAAAGAAATCAGTGCTGAAAGGATCACATTATCCAGCACTGTCCAGCTTCCATTGAGAACAAACATCCATACGTTTGCTTGATCCAGAAGAATCCTCAGCCATGCACTTTACTTGAATACTGCAAACAGGAACTCCTGATGGTTCATTCTAGTTTTACCAAAGCATTGTTGGATCTGTAGTTCCAAAACAGAGAGGACAATGGGCATAACAAACCATTCGTATTAACCGTATATTTGTATTATCTATTAATTTTTGATTACAGCAGAAGGCGTGTTGAGTGACTCAACACACACACGCACACAGAAACTCCAAATGTAGTAAAATTCCCCCCATTAAATGCAAAAAAGGTTGTTTGTCATATATAAAAATGGCGACAGGATGTGGCCTGTATTAGAGTCTCTCCTCCTACAACGTACTGAAATGCATTGTTCTCAAACACCACAGCCCAGTGAGTCACCGCTCCTGCAGGATCCGTCACTACTATCCTTTGCAATTCCACAGCTGCCTTTGTTGTCCAAAAGAGAATAGTCAGAGTCATCAGTTTGACGTCAATAATAATTAAGCTGCCGTTTCTTTCATATTCCGGCAGAGAAAAAATGATAGAGGCAACTGAATATTACAATTCTCTTCTTTGATGGATTGCTGCTGATGAAGAAAAAAAAAGAATGACGTTTCTTTAGAAATGAGGGGCGACTGCCACCATTTCTACTCTCTTCCATTCTCGTTTACTTGTCATGGACATTTAACTCGACCTGATCATTTGCAATGAAGAAAAAGCCCTCTACGTCTCCCAGCGGAGCAGCAGGCGGAGCAGCAGGCGGAGCAACGCTCTCCGTCCTGAGGACTTTGTCTCCGTCCTCCACTGTGATCGTATGGTCTTTTGGGCCTAAGTATCTCCTCTGCTGAAGCGAAACGGCCAAAACAGCAGCTCGCTGTCGGATTAGGACGTAACTGTCAGGCGGGCCGGGCTTACAGCGTGACAGACCTATTAGCTGGCCGCATGTCATTGGGGGGCTTTGCAGACGCGACAGGATGTAAAATGGGGGGGGGGGGGGGGGGAGGGTCTTACTGCATTTCTATGCTGCTAGTAACAGCAGTAAACTTGTAGGGCATCCTTTTCTACGTGAATTATTGACTATTTGATAATATCTGTACAGCTTTACACATTGTTAGAGCAGCGTGAAGGCCGACACCAGAAACCACGTCATTGGTTGGTTGAAGTTCTTCTGGTGTTTAACGTTGGGAAGGCTTTGAAAAAGACGGCTTTGAGGCTCTCTAACACAAACAAAAGCTGAAATGATATTCAGTTGCTAATATTCGGCTGGAGTTGCCTCAGAATCAGTCGGGTTCCTGCTGGCGGTTTGCTCGTCTTTCTGCCTGCGTGTTGGCTGGCGCGTGGCCACAGGCTGATCCAAACTTTACATTTCCTTTTGGCGATCTTTGATGACTTAGCAGGGAAAAGGTGGATTTGTTTCACGTGTCCCTTCATTTGTAGCATTTAATCATTTCGCAGCTCTCCGACACGTCAAATCCCTAAGAGAAACTGTCTTGAGGGCATTCGACTCGCCCCGAACAAATTTAGGTGAATTGCACTCAATTAACATGTCAGAACAGAGCGTGCAGCTAAAAAAGAACCTCTTTTCAAAAATCTCCATGCAGCTAACCGTTCTAGAAACGATTACCAAGACAGATAACAATAAAAAAAACAATAAAATCACAAATTTGTTGATGTTGAAATTACTCGTGCCGTCTTTTTACGCACCTGTTTACCTTAATGTTCCTAAAAGCCCATTTAAAGTGCCCCAAAAAACAATCCGAACTAATGATGATTCATTTCATTATGAAGAATGTTTCACTGGAAAAACACACAAATGCCACAAAAGTGTTTTCCATGGCAATGTGTAGCGGCGTGAACCCTGCCTCAGTGAGGCAGTGCACGCTGCAGCCGGTAGGGAGAGGAAGGGGGAGAGGGGGGGGGGAGCCAGAGTTCCTCCTCGTCACAGTGTGGGGAGACGAGACGGCTGCCGTGTGGATCCTCTGCAGACAGCTGATGTTTATCTCCTCTGCCCATCTGGGCCTCTTAACTAAGCATCTGGCAAAGCTGCCACCGTGCGCGCGGCTGTTTCTGTGAGTGATGACAGTGTCGGGCCGCTGCTGTCCAGCCCTCCCTAAAACACCCCCGGACGCAGGGAGGACCCCAGCCGAGCAGTCGAAGGCTTGTCCTCACGACGTCGCCTGAGTACAACCTTATCCGGTTGTTTCGTTCAGCGCCGGCGTTGACGCCGATTTTAAAATCAAACGCCTCCGCTGCAGCGTCTTGGTTTCCGGGCTGAGATTGTGATCTCTTTGAAAATGATCAAACAACATTATTATCAAAACGCCCACAAAGTGAAATGCAGTTGTGGATTTAAAAAGCTATTTTTGGGCCACCCATGATGCAAATCTTTCTAAAGCATACAGCTGTAGAGAATCCACATGTTTCATCTAACATTAACCACCTTCGACATGGTGCTTTTCCACTGTTGCTTAAAAAGCAGGCGCAGCCTTGAGCGAGTGCAGCAGTGCCGCTTCTTTACCTGTTTCTCTGTTTTCGACTGTCCTTCTCTTCCGAGCTCTCCCCAGGAATATGTTGCAGCAGCTGGTAGGACATCATCCATTATAGATAGCTCTGTTTTAGGGAGAGAGGGGGGGGGGGTGATCTGTGCAGGACGATAAAAATATCTCCTCTTGGTTTCTTTGACTCACAAGTCTCTTGCCTCCTCCAATTCAACGAGCCAGTGCGAAAGATGGCGGCATCTCCACTTGAAGTAATCGCCTAATATCGCCCCTCCACCGCTGGTGGGCGTGACAGCTGCTGCGAGGCAGCACACCTTCGTGGTCTTGAATGAGCTTTTGCCCTCTGTGTCCTCTGTCCAGGCCTCACCGCCGCGGGATGCCGTATGTTAGCACACAGACGCAGCATGGAGTAAAGCCTGACCGATGTGTGTGTGAGATGGTCAATTGGTTGAGAGAGAGACACACAAAGAGAGGGAGAAGCCTGCATGACTCTCCCACTGTGCCCAGATCCTCTGCTCTGTTAGACTGGCACTGTGGGGGGGCAGGCTTACTGTTGAGAGAACACACACACACACACACTCCCCATTACCACTGTTGATACAAAGGGTAGGAGAGACTACGAGGGATCAGGTGTGCAAAGAGCAGATGTGTTCATAACCCGAGCAATATTGTTGCCTTCGTTATCCAAATCCCATGCTCTTAATTCAGCACTTTATTTCAGAACCTTTTGCTTGAAACGCTCTGGAGAGGATCTACATGAGCGGAGCAGTGTGTGGTTTTGAAGTCTGTGAAACGGTGCCAAGCAGCAGCGAATCAGTTATGCTCAAGGCGCATAGAAATAATTCATCGGCGCGCTGTGAAAGCAGCCGAGGCATGGGTGCAACACACACGAGATGCCCTGTGTGGAGTGCTGCGTCCAGGTATTATCTCCGCTCCAATTTTAGGATGCAGAAACTCGTTTGCATCTCTGACTGTCCAAAGCGAATGTGCGGTTCTGAGTAAAACCTCAATTAAAATATGCAGAGCGTGACGTAGCAGCGCGTCTCCCGTTCACTAATTCGTGCAGGACTGTAGACAGAAAGACAAATGCAAACCCGCCCCAATCATCTATTGTTTGTCAGATCAATGCGACTTGATCTACTTTACCTGGGATTGCTCTTCCTGTTACTTCCTCACTCAGCGTGGTTACATGGATTCGAATAACTGGCTTAGTCGGACAGAAATCGAAATATTCGTTTCATGTAAACACCTTTGTCCGACTTTGTGCGGTCCGACTACGATCCGACTAACACCCCTGGATAACTCGATCCGATCCAGTTGATAGTTCGACTATTGCGGCATGTAACGGTGAATCGGATGAGGAACTGGACTCTGCGTCTTTGCGCGTGCTTGAGATCGTGACGGCGTCTTCTCTCCGTTATCAAATCAGCCAATAGCGCCATTCGCATTCGCTGTGCTCCTATTAACACCATGCACACATGAGGGATGTAGCTTCACCTTGCTCTCCGTTCGCCATCTTTCTCGTAATGTTGATGTTGTTGTTGTTGGTTGTTGTTGGTAGTGGTGAAGCGGTCAAGCGGAAATGGCTGTATCACAACTAGTTGAAATGAAAACAACGCCACCTATCGTATCGGATATGACATGCTTTCGGCCAATGATTTGATTTATTCACTGCCATGTATATTGGGATAATAGCACTTGCCCCGAAAGATTCCAATTATACCGTCCTGTAAACACACTGAGTGTGTAACCCCTCCGCTCTCGTTTTTTTATCAGGAGTCTGCTGTGGGACCCGCCGGCTCGTCTCATCACTTTCTGCCTGCCTGAAGGACGGAGAGGAGCGCTGAGGGCACCCGAGTGATCCCGGAGAAACGCAGGAGGCCGACTTCCCACCTTTGTTCTTCGCCCGGTGAGAATTCTCCCCGTGGACTCTTGTCTCCGCTCCTCTGTCTCTAGTCAGCGGCTGTAGCCGCCGCTCTCAGTGAGTGAAAACAGAGCGACGGTCCATAACTACACACACAGTTTGTGTCACAGCTTTAAACCACCAGAAGAGACTTCTGAAGACAACTGCGCTCTGAAAAACATTGGGCCCACTACCCATCAGGACATTTGCATGTGCGTGTGAGTGTTTCTTTATCAAAGGGCTGGAGTTTGCGAGCGGATGCAGATTTAGCCTTCCGTCATGACTCTGCGCGGAGGCTTCGAGAGGCCGTGGGTTGGCTGCTGCTGGGTGTTGCTGCTCGCTCGTTGTTTCTCCGTCGCTTGGGCGGCCAAGCCCAAAACGCCGGGCCACACACACCTCAACTCCGTACGCATCGACGGGGACATATCGCTGGGGGGGCTGTTCCCGGTGCACGCGAGGGGAAACGACGGCAAAGCCTGCGGGGAGCTGAAGAAGGAGAAGGGGATCCACAGGCTGGAGGCCATGTTATTTGCCCTGGATCGTATCAACAACGACAATGAGCTGCTGCCCAATATCACCCTGGGGGCGCGCATCCTGGACACCTGCTCCCGGGACACCCACGCCCTGGAGCAGTCGCTGACATTCGTTCAGGCGTTGATCGAGAAGGACTCGACCGATGTCAAGTGCCTCAGCGGCGGGCCGCCCATCATCACTAAGCCGGAGAGAGTGGTGGGAGTGATTGGTGCGTCCGCCAGCTCCGTGTCAATCATGGTAGCCAACATCCTGCGTCTCTTCAAGGTCAGTTTCTCCTCCTTCTCGCTTCACTTTCTTTGTTTAGTATATTTCTCATCACGATTGCAGGGCACGGAGATATTAAAGTATTCCCTGCGGGATATTCCCCCGACGTGTTTTTGAAGATCAGATTCTCAGTTGAAAACTGTGTAAACCAAAGGAAAAAAACGTATTCTCACACCGAGGTGATATAGAAAAGCACCTCAATGGAATAAACACGCACACGCACAGAGACGCACTTTTTCACGCCACATTTTACCGTCATTCTCCTCATTTCTTCTCCTTAGAAATTTGTATTTTCCCAAAAAGCTTAAATCACAGCAGTTTTAGAAATGTCTTCCCCATTGACCAGAAAACGAGGATCTGACGATTACATAATCCTTCCTCCCTCTAATGACATTACTTTGCCAGGAGTCTTTAGTGTTGCCTTCTTCTAATTAATTCGGCTAAGCCAAGCATGGAACCATGAGCACATTGCGCTGCTTTTGAACATAATGCATAAAATGGGCCCAGGGTAACACATCAACAATGTATGTCAGGACTTTTTGTAAATACCTGCTCAGCGGCGACCAACCAAGCTGCAGGCCAAAGCCCGACTAATGAGCGTGAGGACTGTGTCAAAACAGGTTGTCACTTCTTCATAATATCCCAATGTTCATGCCGGGGTAGCCCGAGTAAGAAGTCAGTGGTTATGTATTGTAACCCTTGCCCCGTGAACACAAGTGTTGAGTCTTATGTGCTTCTAGGGCTTGATGGACTTGTTATGAATCCACTGATTAAACTGAGGAATGTATGAATATAAATCAGCCTTGCAGGGACTGAACATTACGTATACAATTACTAGTGAGGAGTAATAAGAAGGTATACAATATGAAGCTGAAGGCGTTGCTGCTTTTTTATTAAGGGCCAGCTGACACATGGCTGGCGTCACGGGTCGTGTTCCTCTACGTCCAAAAGGAAGCCATGTACAAACCCGGGGAGTTTTGTCTCCTAGCTGAGCCCAACACACCCAGCGTGGTCAGCACACTGCTCCATGTCACATGCCAACATGTTTAGCACATGCATTAACGTCTGTGAGAGATGTTTCCAACCTTTTCAGTCCCCGGTGTCCCATGCAGAGTACTCTTCTGACTGCAGTGTTTAATGGATCACATGAAACCAAAAATTAATACATAAATAAATGAATAAAACCAAAGCTTTCTTCCAGATTGCTGCTGTGGGGCAGATCAAATTGCCAGAAGATGGCTTCTCCACCCGTAAGCTTTTACGACGTCTTCACAAATTGGCAGGCCTCTGTTTGGGCAGCAGTTTGCCAATGAGTTGTTGTGTGTTCTAAATAGTATGCCAAATCCTGCAGTGGGAACAAATCCCCCACCAGTAAAGTTTAAGTGGTTCCATCCAAGACTTTGAGTTCATGTGCACAACTTGAGTTTTGTGCGAGTGCTACTCGGTTATTCTCCTTCGGGATGGAGGTCAGAGTGATTTTGATAGACAATGGCCTTAAGGGTACCTGCCCAGTGGGCTTGAACAGCCTGCTTCAAAGGGCCTTGAACACAACGGGCACATCCCACTGACAGATAGAGGAGGATGCTGCAGGATGAGGCTCCTTACTCCAGGAGGGAAACACTATATTTTGAAAGACAGCTACTAAAAACTCTCCAAACCACTCACGGCCACAGATGGCGGAAACATAAACTTTGATTTATGGAAGAGACATCATTTTATACAGTGGGAAGTAATCTTGGCATATGTCATTTCCAAGTACGATCCTGAAATGTCTAATCTGTCCTGTGCATGATACAAGCACCGGCGATATTTAGAGCAGTCATTAGCTGAACGTGCTCTGAATGTCGCAGAGCTGCAGGCGAATAACGACGAGTGGGATCACATGGAAAAGCACAAGAAACGGCTTTGAGGAAATAGAATATGTGCAAATGCATCCACCTCCAGTGTTGGATTTGTCACTGGTGGGTGGGTGGGGGGGGAATCACAGGGTGTTCAGTCCCTACATAGACAGTCAATATCTTTCCAGGTTTAAAAAATATATTTTATTTAGACACAAGCAGTGCACCCAGGACGCAACATGGATGGTTTTGCAGCTTGGTAATAGTGGAGTCTTACAATTCCTTTTCATCGGACCACTAACTCCAATCAGCAAAGTAAATAGTGAACCTCTTTATACTGCAAAATCTAACATAGGTTTCACCATCATCCCTCTGGGGAAGTATTATATGTATGTATCAGTGTGGTATCACTCTGCCTTATCTTTTTCTTTATGTCTTTGAAAGTCTCACTGTTCAGCGCTGATTTTCATTATGTTAAACTAAATGCCAAGTAGATAGCGTTAATTACAAAAAGGAGCAGAGCCAGTCACAACACTGGTGGCGACCTTTCTTAAAACATCGCTCTTTAGAAATGTATTCCTCTAGCAATTTAAATAAACGTTGAGGAGGATTGGAAAGCTCTAAAAGCCTTTAATCGACTTGTCTTTGCAGTCAACAGGCGGAACATTTTTTTTCACGAATCACACTGATACGGAAACAAGAAGCCGTGGAAATGAGATTTGTATGGGGCCAGGAAGTAGCCCCAGGTGAAAAGAATCATACAGGGTTTAATAGTTTTAATGACGTTAATACTACACAAAGTCAGAAGATGGTAATGAATATGCATGACGTAGACCTGCTACTTGTTTTTGGGATTTATGTATTGAGTTGGTTGTGTAGCAGCTCTTTATTTTAGTTAATGTGTGTCTGTTTCTATAAATCTCTCTTTAGGATTTAATCTTCATGCTGTACTGTGCTTAATGTAGCTAATTATTATATAATGAATTACCTTCATCGCAATTCAGTTAATAACCTTATTTAAAATAAATGAACCCACAAATGCAATCTAGAGCTATGTTATAGTGTATTTGCCAATAAGTTATACTTTTATATCGGCTGTGGTGGAATTGCATGAATTTCTTGTTGTGAGCAAAATGTATGCTAATTCTCTGGCAATTGGCCAAATGCATTGTGGGAAAAGCAGGTAATCACCAACGGGTGCAGAGGAAGTTGAGTAGAGGAGAGAGAGGGTATATTAAAATAAAACAATGGGGAGATTTTTTTCTTTTTTTCTCAATAAGCATCAAGCATCATTTTTTGGAACAAATACTATTTGAATATCAGAATGTAAAAGTCTGCAGCACCCATCAGAAACCCCTCCGCTTCAATTACAGTGCACGCAATCCTCGCTGCTCGCCCCAACCCCCAAAGGATACGGACCAATAAGTGGATCCGCGTGGCTCGCTTCTTTTCTCCATTGTTAAAGTCACGTAAACCATAAGTGGGACTCTTTCGAGTAGCACGGAGAATTTCACTGCACACCACTTCTCTTTAATCAACAAAACTCAACGCTAAGGATTAAAACGCCAATAAGTTCTCATGAGGTGTGAGCTACGAGGTTTGAGGGCTGGTTTGTTTCTCATCATGCAGTATGGATACCGTCGTGTTTATAAGATGACTATATAGATACAATAAACATATTATACCACCGATGTGATTTTGAAAAGAACGCAGTGGGAAGTAGTTTGTTTCCCGCCCGTGACCGGCCTCGTGCTTGACGTTGTTCTTCCTGCTCCTCACTTTCGGGCTCTCCCTCTTCCTCCTCACAGTCTTTGAGTGCCTCGGGGCAAAGTGTTTGCTCAGCACTCCGGAGCAGGCAGGATTCCGTCCCCGTGGTGTACCATGAATATTTTACTATATTGTTACGTAACTTACGCTGTGGGATCCTGGGTGGAACGCTCCCTCTCTGCACACCTTCATCACTGGGTCCAGCCTTTGTCTGTTCTGATCACCCGGGTTTCCACAATTCACCACAAGCAGGAGCGAAGTGCACCGGCGCTGGAGGTAATTAGTGCTTGGTACTTATGATACTCAAGAGAGTGTAATTAAAGCCCCAGGCTTTTGATTGTGACTCTTAGAAATCTCTGAAAACAGCTACAGTGGCCGTCATGAGGGATATTGCAGCAGAAACAGGCCCTGTGGTTAAGGTTGCCTGGCTGAGCCAATCATAAAGCTCTCAGGCAAAGAGGGGAGTGGCTTGGGCCGCTTCCAAAAGGCACCTCTCTGAATTAGGAACAAGTTGGTCTGCAGGCCTGAGTCTCTGCAGGAACTGTGGAGACGGATGGAGGGGGGAGAGGTGCCGGCCAGGTGGGCTGAGCAGATAGAAGACGTTTAACAAACCGTCTGTTGTGCTGTCTGTAGAGAAGAGACCTTGCATCCTACTTTCTCTCCCCTCATTAGAGATGGAGGCAGAGGCCCTTAGGCACAGCGGCTTCCTCCCCCTCAGCATTTTACTTTTGGAATGTCTCGCCTGCGAAAAGTGAGGCAGACTGATCTCACTCCCAGAGCTTCAAATACCGATGTCTGGGCAGTGGCGCCTTTGCGCTTTGATACAAAGCGCCCTTTAGCGCCAGCAGGGTTTCAACTAACTGCATTGTAAACCCATCCGTGTAATTATAAGACGCTCAGAGAAATGGACATAAAAGCAAAGAGTGTCTGCGATGTGTAGGAGGGAAGGTTGGTGGATGGGTCAGACACCACCGGACTTGGACTCAGTGATGTCTCCTTCATGTCACATGGGTATAAGTCCACAGTGCAGTTAGCAGTATAACAAAAAGTTGCCATGTTTAATGTACTCACTTCCTTTTTAGTTTAGTCTCGGTTTCAACTCCTGAGCAAATTGCGTGTGGTCACATGTCCGCTAACATCAAACAAATCACAACATAAGAATGGCACATTGTCAATTGTGTCTGATAGGACTTTGTTTCCTACAGTCATGCGCTCCACCCTGACTTCTCAGTGCTCTGTCACACCTGGAAGGTGCACCCAAGCTCTACCCCGTCACCTCCTCGGCCAAGTCCTGGGTCCAAGTCCTCTGTAGGATGAGAGCCTCAAGCACCTGGAACTGGGCGGTAATTGAGAGGAGAGAGAGAGAGGGGTCTGGATGGGAGAATTGATTCTGAC